ATATATACATATATATGTATGATAAGTATATAGAGACCTCCTCATCAAAAGGTAGGTTTTGGGGGGGGGGGGTACCATATATATGTATGTATAGATATACGGAATATATAACCCTGAACCCTTTATGAGGTAGGCAGCAGCCTTTTGCCTCAGGTCACCTTCTATTTCTTCTGGGGCAAGTACTTGGCCGCGGGCTTGGCCAACTTCATGAGGGGGGCTGGGTGGGCGAGCTGCGGCCGCACAGATAAGCTGAGCCCAGGATAAGGGTTTAGGGCCGTTTTAGGGATTTAGCATTTAGGATTTAGGGTTCACGATTTAGGGTGTAGGTTTAAGGGTTTTGGGTTTAGGCTTTAGGGAGCAGCACCAACCCTCACTGCATCGTGATGAGTAGCCTGGAATCCACATGGCTCAAACAGATCACGGCGTTTCCGTTCCGCAGGCTTCACGAGTAGAAAATATCCACAGCCGCCGAACAGCATTCAGGATACAGCAATAGCAGCAAGAGTATAATAGAAATAATAGTAACAATACTGGCAATAATAGTAACAATAGTTGTATTCCTGACCATGACGACGGTGACGATGATGACTACGTTGTCAGTACTCTTAGCTAAAATAGCAGAAGTGGCAGTAGCAGCAGAAGTGGCAATAGTAGCGGTAGCCATATGAGGGCTTACATAAGTGGCCTCAGCGGTGGTTTTTCAGGGGTGGCTGGTCGTTATAAGTGGAAGACTTGGAGGTCTCGCAGTCGAGCAAATTGTGATGACGCATTCTGGGTGCCTGTTAAGGAACATAGGGCAAGTATGATATGGTAGTTTCCCTAAATAGGGGGACCCCAATCTAGACTCATTTACAAGAAGGCGCCCACTATTTCGGGAAACCCCCATATTGATCTACAGTAAAGGACACGTTTCCTGACAATAGCAGTCTTTCCAAGGTCTTTGACCACAACTTGCAGGGAGCCGATGAGAAGTTGACGTGGGCTTTCAACAACTGCCCGGAAAAGCCGCGAGCCCAAGAACTCCTGCTCATATGTATATAGTTGCATCATCTTGGGGGGGCATTCGTTATGAGGGGGATTGGGGTTTATTATCAGGGGTGGGGCCACAACGACCCTTCCCTTTCGTTTACGGCTATACATCCCTTGTTCTTCTGCATGAGGTGAACTTGAGCATGCTTTGAATCCATCCTTGATGGAGGTATTCAGGCAATAAAAAGGTGTTTTCCAAGATACTGCCATACAGGTAGTGAGGTCGTGCTTGCGCGCGACTTGAAGCGGCAGTTTCAGAGCGTCAGGCATTGAAAGGACTGTCCATCTGGATAAGTTGAGTCGATTGCTGCAGCTCTACTCTCGAAAGGCTTGACATTTGTCAGATCAAGCGCCATGGTGCGCTTGTGTCGCCCCTGTGCCCGAGCGCGCTGTAGCCATTGTGGCAAGAATGTCGGGATGTTCGGCATCCAGGGGCTTGGCTGGAGCCTGCGGCTTCATGAAGCAAGGTGGGAGGCGAAGGCTTAGCGAATGTTCCTGAAGCGCGAAGGCAACACAAAGCAGAGCAAAACCGATAACATCCTTCAGCGGAAATGCTGCTTTCATGCAGTTGTGCAGGACATTCATGGCACAGCTTTGGGAAGTTGAGCTCGTGCAATAAGCGGTTATGGGTTGAGGGATTGATATAATATACATTGGTGCTTGGGCTTTGGACTAGCTTTCGCTATTTGACCTGGCATTCAGGTCTTCAGCAGCTGCAAAGTTTAAAAAAGCCATAAGAGCAACACTCAGTGGTAACAACTTTTTGGATAAGCAACTGGTTACGGGGTTTCGCGTAATTACGTGAGCCCCAGGTGCGGCGCAGCAGCAGCATCTACAATTGAAACAACAGCGCCGGCCATGCCTGCAGCTCAGCCCCTGCCTGCAGCTGGGCTTGTGCAGGCGGCCAGGATTCTGGCGTCACACGTGGACCCGTCAACAGACGCTTCGGCTCTTGGTGTGGAGGATCTGCTGCGATTCCTTCACATCACAAAGGAACAATTGAAGCAGTTGATTGAAGCCGATGCAGAAACCGCAGATGAGGTCATGCGCCTGGGCGTGTTCACATGGAGGCCGGGTTCAAGTGGCGACGGTCCGCTCACTGTAGCTATGGGCGTTGGTCCCGGCGACCCAGGCAGCATCGTTGTCAAAGCACGGCCAGAGAGGCTGCATTCCAGGTTGCTGCGCCATGTCGGGTGCCAAGAACAGGCGATGGAAGTGGAGCACATGTCCAACGAGCTCCCACGCTGGCAAGATGTGAACACTGAGTTGTTACTAGAATACGCGGAAGATTTTCGTGACATGGCGGTGAAGCGCTGCGCAAAGCTACAACAGCTGTCGCAGCGCCTTTCGGCCAATCTAGTGGCCGGCCGCGGTGGAGGTTGAGTTGGAAGAGATGTAGCTGCACATATCTCACTCTAGATGTGTGAAAGCCAATCTCGACAATTTTCTGGCAGCTGATGCGCAACTCCTCCTTCACCACTGATCTTCCGGATTTCATAGAGGGCGGTCTGGATGAAAGTGCCTAGTTGCTCCGCTACGATGTTCGGGGTGGTTTGTTGCCAGTCCGCTTGGATGAAATCCCCTTTGCACAATGCATCGAGGAATAATGCTGTTTGTTTAAAACAAAGTTTCACCATCTAGCCAATCACTGCGGAAAGGAGGAGCAGCATGGAGGTGCATAAAACTAAGCCACATGCTCCTGCAGCTGCCTGCGCATTGCGTTTGCGAACCCAGTTTCATGCTTCAAGCTGCTTCCTTTCCATGCAGCTATTGGCCCCACGCTGTCGTGCCAAAAAAGGTCAGTGTTCCAGCAGAACGACGCAAGGGGAACTTTCGGTAGGATTAGTGAGCGCGAGGTAAGCACATGCTGCGGTTGTACATTGCACCGGATCTGGAAGTGTTACAGCAAAGCTGCAGCTTTTCAAGGAGGCTAGAGCCGAAATGAAAGACAGCCAGTTCTTTTGTCGCCGTTTGTTGAGAACGGCTGTGCCGAGGGCTGCGAGTTTAGCATGCGTTTTTGTCCGTTTGCAATGGTCATTTTGGCTCTGGGTGCTAGCACTGGCATGGTTATGTATCATAACCGATCTTAACCCAGGTAGGAAATACTTCAGCTGCAACCAAGTTGTATGATATGCCCCGTATAGTTACGGTTCTTGATAGCTTTCATGCTTTGTAATATACATACCTCGTCTTGCAAGCTGTCCTGGTCTACACGGTTTGGAGCATCACGTGAAGAAAATCATAGATCCCATTGCGCAAGACCATCGCGGCATGCAATCAAACCGAAACTGTTTCAACAGGACTGTCTTGTACAAGACCTTCTGCAATAAGGCCTGCAACTGACAGAGGGAACATGTGAGGATTCTTGTTTCCGGGTGTATACTTGCTCGGAACTCGGCTCTCGCCCTGAGGAAGAACCCCCCAACCCCATGATAATGAGAGCGCCCCAATACAGTATCATGTAGCTTGCGGAGCATTCTTTATTGAGTTTTAGATCTTAACCGCGCAAACCACATATGATACCAGTTCCCAAGATATTGTCCACTTGCTTTTCGATTTGATACTCCAATAATGGGGTAATCTTGAGCCCCCAAACCCAAAACCAACCCAAAACCCTAAACCTTTGACCCTACTCATCATCTTCTACAGGGGTAATGGGTAAAACCCAAAACCCTGACGCCCAAACCCCAATCCATTCTGTACAGCTATGTTCCGCGCACTGGAATTCATAACTGAGGGCCCTGGCCAATCGCAGGCGAATTCTGCCGCTTGCTGCAATTTGCCGTGTCCGGGGTATACATGGAAAATCCCAACATGGGGATTTCCCAAAATTTGCGGTGCCGTTTTTGGGGTCCCTATATTCATAATCGTAGTTTACTGGGGTTACTGCCATATGTATGAAAGTTGAGCGTTTGAGTGATTCCGCAAACAAGTGCTGTGCTCACATTCTTTGTTTCACTTCGCCATTCAAAATGTCTGACTGCAATCCTGCTTCGCGATCGCAATCTTCTAGTGACGTTGAACCCTCAATCCCAAATTAGGGTTCGGGTTGCGGGCAAGATTCTGGGTGCCGTATTCTATTTGACACCGAGAAGAGCTCACAATTTTGAGAATAGCAACCCTAACCATTAAACTTAAGCCCTAAACTCTAAACACTGAAACCCTGAATCCTAAACCCTCAACTTTAAACTCTAAACCCTAAATCCGAAACCCTAACTTTCAAACTCTAAACCCTGAAACCCTAAACCCTAAACCTATCAGTTCCTTGCCGGGTTGTACAGTTTCCATTTTCTTGTCCGTTATCCCTGTATAACCCCTATATAACCCCAAAAATTTGCCAAAAGCCTAAACCTCAAATAGTAGTTTCCATTTTCTGTTCCATTATGCCAATATAACCCTTACATAACCCCAATAAAACCAAAACATTGTGCCAGGTTGTATTTGGTACCCTGCAAGCTCCGACTCGGGGTTCTTCCGACACAGGCAGCTGAACTGGGAGGTGTAGGGTTTGGCATAGGCATCAAAAAAAATTGACAAGGCATCAAAAAGAAATTTGATGAGCATCAAGAAAAAAATTGACAAGCATCAAAAAGAAATTTGAGCGTTTCAGCTTGACTATTCTTACTAATATTGTTACTATTACTATT